AAGTAGCTGTGCTGTTTTTTATAATAACTTTTTTTAACCAAAGGTGACTTTCAAACAAATCTGTCCTGGAACTGAATCTGTATACCAGCTGTAGACCATGCTGGCCCGGAACTCAGAGGTCCTCCTATCTCTGCCTCCCAAGAGCTGGGATCAAAGGTGTATGCCACCATGCCTGGCTCAAACAATTTTTTTTTTTTTTGGTTTTTCGAGACAGGCTTTCTCTGTGTAGCTTTGGAGGTTGTCCTGGAAGTAGCTCTGTAGACCAGGCTGGCCTCGAACTCACAGGGATCTGCCTGCCTCTGCCTCCTGAGTGCTGGGATTAAAGGTGTGTGCCACCAATACCCGGCTCAAACAAATCTTTTAAGTCCTCAAAACTTGGATTTAGTCAAGTGATTATAAGGACTTACTTTTGAGTTAGTATTGTGACGAATGGGTTTGAAAGGGAAACAGTAAAATCTGAGGCAGGCAGATTGCATATATGGTCGCTGCCTGCTTAACATTTCCAAGGCCCTAGGGTCAACTTCAGAGAAAAATCCATCAACGAAGGTGTCAAAATAAAAATCAGTATTTTGTATGTTGAAAAAGTAGTGTGTACAACTCGTACAAGTTTGTTATAGAACATTTCTCCCTAACCCTGCTCCTTATCCTCACACCCAAATATATAGTTCATATTATACTTCAAATGAAGTATTTATTAATTTAATGTTTTTTTCAGTATTTTCAGCTTTAGAAATTAATCCTAGTGAATGAATTTCATTATACTGGGGACTGTAACTGCAGCTTTATGTGCTCAAAGCAGGAGCCACATCCCTGATTTTTATCCATAGCCCTCTTTTGTTTCCTTTTTACTTTTGAGTCAGCCTCACCAAGTTATATAAACTGCTCTTGAATTTGCCATCCTCCTGTCTTAGCTTCCTGAGACATTGAGATTCCAGGCATGTTCCATGATGCTTGGCTGCAGGGGGGCTTTTAAAAATGTAATCAGCTCAGCTTTATAATAACAAAGGGGGTCATTTATTTCTTTTAGTTTGCTCTAAATACAACCCACATACATATTTTTAAAAGATGCATGTTTTCACTGGGGGTCTCCCCAGCATGATCTAGACACCCCACCCCTGATCATATAATCCCTCCTTGGACTCGGCAGCTCGGCCCAGTGCTTGGCTGTGGATCTCTGCATCTGTTTCCAATAGTTACCAGGTGATGATTCTATGATGACAATTAAGGTAGTCGCCAATCTGATTACAAGGGAAAGCAAGTTTAGGCACCCTCTCCACTATGTAGGAGGAGCTTTGTTGACTCCCATGGGAAGCCTTACCCTTCCTGAGGAGTGGATGAGGGGGAATAGAAAGGAGGTGGGGGGAAATGGAAGGAGATGAGAGAGAGGAAACTGTTTGGTATGTAAAATAATTTAAAATTTTAATAAAAAGATGCATGTTTGAAAGATTAGTTAATAGAATTTTCTCTGCCACACTGAAGATATAGTTGGAGAGGCATCTTTAGAGCTTCAAGAGCAAAGGCATATTTGAGTGTCATTTTCTGGAATATAATGTATTTAGTGGTATTTATGGCATTTACAAATCTTTCATTTCTAAAATGACAGTTTAATAAAATGTGTATAGAGATAATGATGAGTCCCAAGTGAGAACTCAGTTATGTAAACAGATAAACATGGGTAATAAGTGGCTGTACTTGTATCTAGAGAAGATGAGGCTCAAATATAAAACTATGTTAGCAAGAGATTTCTTTCACACTATATGGATGGATGGAAGATTGGAATAAAGATTTAAAGACTGGGCAGCCATGGCAGTGCAGACCTTTAATCCTAGCGCTTGGGAGGCAGAAGCAGGTGGATTTCTGTGATCAAGTCCACATAGTAAGTTCCAGGACAGCCAGAGTTATGTAGATAGACCATATTTCAAAGAGGGGGAAGAAGGGGAGGGGGATAGGAGGAGAGAGAGAAGAAAAAATCAGAGAATTGTGTGATAGTCTTTTGTATATATTTGGACTAATCTTTTTCTATATAATGTAAAAATGTAATGTAATTTTAAAACTTGTGCTTTTTTTAGGTCTCCTCATATGTATTACCTGTTTGCCTTTCTTTTCCTGATTTTCTTAATTCTTATGATTTCCTGTTCTGAGGTTACGGTTCTGCTGTGCTATTTTCGACTGTCTGTTGAGGTAAAGACATAGATATTAATGCTACTTAATTATTCTAAACTTACATTATTGGAATCAGAGTATGTGCTCAAAAGGGTATTGAAGTAAATAGTAACTTCATGATTTTTACTGCTTGGAATAAGTTTTATATTATGCTTTCCTAGTGATATATTTTGACTTTGATGTAGCTACCGAGTGTTACTTTTGATGCAAGATTTAAAAAGGAAGCAATTTCTCTTTGAGTGGTTACTATAATTTCTGCTTGTTATTCAGTCAATATTGAAAAATATGTCAGTGGGGGGCCGGTTTGAGTTTATAAATATGATGGTAGGTGACTAATTTGAGCTTAGACATGTAAAAGACCTAGTGATTTAAAAATATAATTAAAGGTTTCTTTGCAGTATCCTCCAGGATTGTATTTTGTGGGATTGAGGTCCCTGCTGCAGGTCCTTTTCTTCTAACATATTATCACAAATAGTACTTTTTATTTCATCCTCATTTTTTTCTCCTTGATATCACTTGAATGACTGGTAATGTAGTAAATAGTTGTTTGTTTTCTGTCTCTCTTTTAAAAATGATTTATCCTATTTATTTATTTATTTATTTATTCATTCGTGTGTGTGTGTGTGTGTGTGTGTGTGTGTGTGTATGTGTGTGTGTGTGTATGCGCGCGCACACACATGTGCGCACAAACATGTGTGCACCACCTTTTAATTGCTAAGCTATCTCTTAAATCTCACATTGTTTCAGGGCTCATAAGTCATCATATTGTAATTAAATGTCATTATCTGATGGTGGCAATGAAGAGTTAACAGAATGATTATAATATTTGTTGCTTTGCAACATTTTGTTCTGGAGCTATAGGTATAAATATATAATTAAATATGCATTATACTTAGCTACTGATAAATTCTCTGGTGGATTTTATCATAAAGAGAATGTGTAACAATCATTAATGAGTCCAAAGAAGCAAGCATATCATGGGTATATTTTTTTTGCTTAGAAAATATTTGGGACTTCTTAAACATCAGATATTAACCAGAAGATCTTATGGTACCAAGCATCAATATGCATGTGACTAGAGTTTATCACAGAGTAAAGACACACATCACAGTGAGCAAAGGAAAACAGCACAGTCCATGGGGCATGGCAAGACTAGGCTGCATGTTGACCTCAGTCATGTCTACCATAGATCCTGGATTTAGCCAGTGAAAGGAAATCCCATTAGCTATAAGGTCCATCTTAAATTTATATAGTATTTTTTCTTGTACCTGACCTAAAGAATCACTAGGCATAGGATAGCATTTTTTCAATAATAAGTTTTTTTATGAACTTTTCCTATATCTTTAATTTTTTAGATTATAATCTATTTACAACATTTCTTCTTTCCCTTTCCTTTGTGAATACACTCCCATATACCCTTCCTTGTTTCTTTTAAATTTGTAGTCTCTTTCTAAAATTGTTTTTGCATGCATATAGATATATACATATAAATCCTTAAATGTAATATTCTCAGTTTGTATAACGTTACTTGGATATATGTTTTCAGAGCTAACCATTTAGTATGAAATAACCAGTTGGCACACTCTTCCTGAGGAGTTCTTAGTGTTCCTTAGTTGTCTTTGTGTAGGGTTGAGGCCTGATGGGCTCCCCTCCCCCATCCACTTTGGTATGTCTATGAAACTTCTTTTTGCAACAGATGGAGAGCACTGCAGCAAATCACACCAATAAAAATGCAGCGTTGTGGAGCCCAGTCCTAATAGATACATCTATAAAACACTTTTGTACCTAAGGCTCAGCAAACACTGGGGAAGAGGGGGACAGAAAGATTGTAAGAGCCAAAGGAACAGGGTGTTTGCTGTCAGATTGTGTCTCCTAGGAATGTCAGAAGCTACACACATAAAGCCTCAGCAACACAACTGCCCAATCATGAACTTTTCCTATGTCTATATGATGTATTTGGTCATATTTATGGCGTGACTCTTCTGTGCCCCCCAATCCTATTGATACCCTTCTTCCCACTTTCACTGTCGTATCTTTTCTTTCTGCTAACCTATGGAGTATAGTTAGGGTTTCTGAGAGGAGCTTGGTTGAGGGGTTATTTATAGGAACATGGGTGATATACCAGTGGCTATACCACAGAAGAACGTACCTCTCCCTTTTCTAACAATAATTAAATTCATTTATATAGTTGGTGAGGGTGGGGCCTTGTGATCCCTTCCCTTCTGTGATAGAATGTTAGTCGCCCCAGTCTTGTACATGGCTGGTGCTGAGAATCACACTTTCTGAGAGTTCAAGAGTGCAGTGACCATGCTGTGCATAGTAGAACGCATTCTACAATACTCTGCTCCTTCCTCTGACTGTTATTTTTTGTTCTGCTCCCTATTCCCAAGTCCCCTGAGACTCAGAGGTGCTCATCCAGGCATCACATTAGGACTAAACAATATATATTCTTGCCACTACTATTGGTTGCCAACTAATATTAGATAGTCTTTTGGTCATAGGACATAGATAAATCAAACTGAAACTGACCTGGAACCTCCCTCCCTGTTGTCTGGTTCTTATAGTAGTGAAAGAGGATAAAGAGATTGTCAAAGGAGATTTGTCATCAGCAGTCTTATCATGTTATAATATCAAATAGCCAGGCAGGGCATATGCCATTGGTGCAATAGTGGCAAGTCTGTTACTGGATTTTGATTGGATTTGAGATATTCTAGACAGGAGGAAATTCCTGCCTAGTATAGTAAACTTAGTCAACATCCAGTTTGGTCAGATTCTCGGCCCTAGTGGGGAAAGCATTACCATTGTTTTCCTTAGTGGGCAAGATGTTCCTGACATATTTCCTTTGGAATATTTTTATTACAATTGATTGGTCCTACTGCCAGCTTTGGTCAGAGAGACTTAGTTTTTGCAGTAGATGGTGGCTAACACAGAGACTCCAAACTGGACAAAACATAACTCATGTTAGTAAAGGAAGCTGAGATGAATGCCTTCCAAGGCTGAGGCAGTCTTAAAATAGCATCCATGAATTGTAACTTGATGTTTAAGAGGGCATATATGCTATCCCTGAAAACAGAGTTTACAGTAGCTAGAGCATCTCAAACATGACATAATTATGTGTTTTGTTTAAATTGCTTATGAAGCTTCAACTTTGATTTATATTCTTACTGTTTTTTATTTCATTATATGTATGGGTTTTTTGCCTGCATGTATGCCTGTGTACCATGTGTGTGCAGTTTCTGCAGAGGCGAGAAGAGGGCATCAGATTCTCTGGAACTGGAATGAGATAGAGTTGTGAGGCACCATGTGGGTGCTGGGAATCAAACCTGGATCCTCTGGAAGTTCTGCCAGTGCTCTTCACCACTGAATCATTTCTCTAGCCACTACCTTTTACTACTTTCAATTAATAATAGAGTTATAGAATCCATGTGTGTTATAAAAATAATTGCAGCCATGCAGTGGTGGCACATGTCTGTAATCCCAGCACCCTGGAGGCAGAGGCAGGTGGATCTCTGTGAGTTTGAGGCCAGCCTGGTCTACAAAGCTACACAGAGAAACCCTGTCTCAAAAAAATGCTAGTCCATTTATAGTTAAGATTTCACCTACATAATATTATTTTTTCTGTTTTGTCAGGATTATGGTTGGTGGTGGAGAGCTTTTCTGACAAGCAGTTTTACGTCTACTTACATTCTGATGTATGCAATTCATTACTTCTTTACCAAACTTCATGTCATTGACATCGGAAGTATCTTTGTGTACTTTGGATACACATTGATCCTAGTGCTGGTTTTCTTCCTTTTCACCGGTAAGTGGAAACAGAATTAGGTAAGATATTTTAGATTCTCTGAAGAGTAAGACATTTGTAATCTAGCAGACATCAATTAATGATTAGAGGAAGGAATAGGGAACAAAGTCACCATTTCATTCATATGTTTTTGGCATCAAAGACTGTGAAGTCTAGGGAGCTGGATGTACCTTACATACTTCATTGTAAGATTTTTCCTTGTGGATATTTTTAATCAGCAGGGATGTGTTCTAAACCACAGAGTGAGTTCAATGTAATCAACTTTGAATAGATTTCAAGTATAAAACTTAACAGATTTAAATACCTTTTGGATTATTAAAGTTAGATTAACTAATTGGTCATATTAGCAATTTTATGTCAAGGACAAGATGCATATACATGTAAATGGTTAGTAAGTTGATGATTATTATTTTGGTTCAAATATGGTGGAGATATTTTTCATGCTTAGTGCTTGAATCAGGTAAAAAAATGAAATGTTTTATAAAATGGCTTAGTTGAAGATATAGTTAAGTTGTAGATATAGTGAAGTTGTAGCAGCATTAGACCTTCTGAACACAAAAGCATGTTTTAGCTTGCCTCACTAAGTTTGCGTTTTAGTACCTTGGATCATATCATTTGTATAAGACAAATTAGAAAAGTTAAGTATTTTCTCAGAGTTAGCATTCAGGTTCAACAAACACATCAAATGAAAACTGGGAGCTGGGGAAGCAGGTCAGTGTCTAAAGTGTTTACTGTACAAGCAGAAGGACTTGAGTACAGGGTTAGTCCATTATCATCACTGCAGGGAACATGGTGACATGTGTCATGTGGGGGAAGTAGCTGAAGTCTTTACATTCTGATCCACAGGTAGCAGGGAGAGAGACAGGGGAGGAGCGAGAGAGAGAGAGAGAGAGAGAGAGAGAGAGAGAGAGAGAGAGACAGGGTCTGGCTGAAACCTCAAAGCCCACCCCCTAGTGGCACACTTACTGGAGGGAGGCCATTCTTCCTCCAACAAGGACACACCTCCTAATCCTTCTAGTTCTTTCAAAGAATTTCACTTCCTGCTGAATAAGCATTCAAATACATGAACCTATGGGACCATTCTTGTTCACTCTATCATAACACACATGGTTGTGTATACTGCACACATAGGTACACACACACAAATATGAACAATCCTTCAGAAAAAGGTAAACATTAGTTGATAAACTAGGCATCTTTATAGGTCTTTTTAAAATACACCTAAAAATTGGATTATTTTTGTTATACTGCTAGAATCATCTCCTCAGGAAAGACTCTTTAGGTCATCTACCATAACTTGCCTACCAGCAGTTCTATTTATGACAGAAGACCACAGCACTTTCATCATTGTATTCTAATTCAATTATGTGTGTTATTTCCTTTCACCTTTTCCCCCCTGAAGTATGCAAATAGGGCCAATGAGTGTAACTTAGTGGCAGAGCACTTGAGTAGCATGTTCAAGACCAACCCTGGTTTCAGTTCCCAGCAATGCAAGAAAAAAGCATTATGCATACGAATCATAAGTATACAGTTTGATGTGTTACAAAGGTCCTCCCCCATGTATCTAGGCTAAGAGAGTATCCCTTCATAGGGAATGGGCTCCAAAAAAGTCAGTTCACGCACTAAGGATAAACACTGGTTCCACTGCCAGCAGCCCCATAGACTCCTCAGGCCCCCTAACTGACACCCACGTTCAGGGGGCCTGGTTTGGTCCCATGCAGGTGTCCCAGCTATCAGTCTGGGATCCATGAGCTCCCACTTGCTCAGATCAGCTTTTCCTGTGGGTTTCCCCAGCATGGTCTTGACCCCTTTGTTCATCACTCCTCCTCCTCTGAAACTTGACTCCAGGAGTTCAGCTCAGTGCTTGACCAGCCTGACTTCCAATAGCAGATATCAATTTGTCTTAACTTTGATTGCAGAAGTATGGACATGCACACAGAACAAACTCTTTTATGTCTGGGTTCTTTAGCAGCTGCTTTCTTTCTCTCAATATTGCTTGTGAGACTGGTGATTATCAATGTCTGTAGATGGAGTCTGAGTTCCTCATATCTTTGCTTTGGATCACCTCATCCCTCCTCATGAGTTACTGCATTATATATTTATATAATGTTCAGTTAGATACATAGTAGTCTCCCCATATTCAGGTGATACCAGTCTAAGACCCCAGTTGAATGCCTGAAATCATATATAATACTGAATCATATATACATATTGTATACACAGTATTTTCTTATACCTACAGCTCTGTAATAATTTACAAATTTGGCACAATAAGAGATCAACAGTACTTGATAATAAAATAGAAAACTTAAAGCATTCACAGTAATAAGTTATGTTGCTATGGTGTCTCACTTTCTCCCTAAATATTTTTGTGCTATACTCTTTCTTTTTTGTGATGATGTAAGATGATGCAATGCCTACCTGATGAAGTGAAGGAAATTATGTAGCCATTTTGATATGGCCTTATGTGCAAGGGTTACTTGAACACAGTGTTTTGATAGCTGTCCTGAAAACTTAGACAGCTGCTAAGTGGTTAATAAGGTAGTTAGTATATACACTACTGTGGACAAAGGGTTAGATTAGCCTATATAGAATTGAGAAAAGGATGTAAAATTTCCTCATGCTATTCAGAATGACACACAATTCCCTATTGATTGAATTTATTCTTGAAAGTTTCTACTCAATATTTTTGGATCGATGATATATCTCAAGTTTTCCCATGCTATTCAACTCAAAACATCATATAAAATGGAGGTAGGAATCTGGGCAGTGGTGGTGCACACCTTTAATCCCAGCACTTGGGATGCAGAGGCAGGAAGATCTCTGTGAGTTTGAGACCAGCCTGGTCTACAGAGTGAGGACAGCCAGGGCTACACAGAGGTACCTTGTCTCAAAAAACAAAACAACAACAACAACAAAACAAAAAAATGTAGGTAGGAGACATGACTCCATGGTTAAGAGTATTGACTATTCTTTCAGAGGAGCTGGATTTGATTCCCAGTATCCATATGGTGATTTACAACTGTGTCTAATTCCAGTTTCAGGGGATTTGATGCCCTCTTCTTGCCTTTATGGGCAATTCATGCATATTGTATGCAGGTATACATGCAGGAAAAACACTTATACACATAAAATTAGAAATGAAGGTAGACTGTTTCCATTTTCTACATTATTCTAGGATAGGGGCCATCGAGACTAGGATAAACCTGGAATAATTGCATAAAATCTTAAATACCAGACTAGTTTGATTTCTGTTTATATTTATAAACCAAAGAAAGTGTTAGGTTTTATAGGCCAAGACACAGATGTCTGTATTCTCAAGAGTTTGGAAAATATTTAGATCATGTTATTTTTATCAATGTAAGTAGTTACATCCCTACTCTAATTCTGGAACTCGTACTGGCCAGTATTCGATGATATTCTATGATATTGAAAAGATTGAACTTAAGGACACATTCTGCTATTCCCAAAGTGACTATATGTGCTGGCATTCTTAGACTGTTATGTTGTTCACACTCTGAAACTCACACCAGTGATGGCTTATGCCCACTACCACGTCCAGTTTTTCCTGTCTACCTGCTGTTAATTCTTTGCTGTCTTTCTTTACAAAGTGGTTGATATCAAACTTCTATCTTAAGAGTAGTCAAGGAAAGAACTAGTCTTGAATTCCATCTCTGCTGTTTATTGACTGTGTATTCTAAGGCGAGTTGCTTTACCTATCTGAGCACTTTCATGACTAGAGAAAGTGCTTCATAAACACGGACTCAAATGTGGTAGCAGGAAAGTAGGGCTCCCCAAATCCTCTTTTCTAAACAGGATTTTCCTTTACCTCATTGTGAAATCGCTACAGTTTCTATTTTTTTACCTTCATGTATTAATTCCATGTTTCAAGTTCTGTAATGAAAATGTCTTGGATATTAATCTCCTTGTTGACTGGAGAAAGATTCCTTAAAGGTTTCTTTATATTGAATATTGAATGGTAGACTTTCCAACTGTTATTTAGCTAGCTTCTCAGAACTCCTTTGTAAAATATGCATTCGTGATAACACTGGGAAATTTCTACCATATTTCATAATCCATATTTATGTTTGTTTTGTTTTCAGAGGCAGGGTCTCACTATGTAACCAGCTTGGCATAGAACTTGCTATTTAGCCCGAGGTGGCCTTGAATTCTCAGTCTTCCTCCCTCTGAACTTGGGGCTAACCAATTGGCCATACCAGTTGGTTGATGGATGAACTCCCAGGGTCCACATGTTTCTGCCTCTCCAATGGTGGGATTGTAGGCATGCACCATAGCACTCAGAATTTATGGGGGTGTTGGGGATCTGAACTCAGTTCCTCATTTTTGTGTGGCATACACTTGCCTGACTGAGCCATCTTCATTGCCTGGTTACTTACCTTTTCTAAACCCTGAAGCAAATTACAAGAGTTTCTGTCAGAAAGTAGCCTTGAGCCTCGTTGAAATGGAGAATATAAGATAATCGTTTCTGTTTTATTTTTGGCTCTGGTTACAGACTTACAGAATTCAATCAGAAGAGTTCTCTCACCTTTTTATAGGTGACTGCTTCTGGCCGTGCTGCTCATCCTGATTGCTTAGCAAGAGAGCCTGGTGATTTATCATGCTGTTTTGATACAGGGTTTCACTATGTTAGTCTACAGTGGCCTTGAATTAATTTGATTTTCTTGCTTCAGCATTCCAGATTTTGGGAATACTGGTGTGTGCCACTTTGACAGCTAAACCTGATGACTTTTATTTGATCATGTATGAATCTTGAGATTTAAAGATTCAGTAGTATGCCATGAATCAGCCATGTTTGTGTTTTTAAGAAAGCTTGTTGACTTACTATGATACCTGCCTAACAAAGATCTTTTTACATTTTGTTTCAGGAACTATCGGATTTTTTTCATGCTTCTCCTTCATTACTGCTGTGTACGGTGTGATGAAAGTGCGTTAATGAGTTTCCCCCTCTGTTTCAAAGCATGTAATCCTTGTATCTATGCAAACATCTGTTGAGATACATATCTATGCATGCTCTAAGTTACATCCAGTTAAAATGTTCATGAATGCAAAATCTCACTGTCTGGCCTCAGTTTCTTTGATACACAATACTCATTAGTGAAAAAAAATCGATTTTTAAAAAAATTGATTCTCAGTCATAGCTTCTTGAAAAGATAAAAAAAGATTTCATTTAAAACAATCAAGAGTAAAGGAGGCACATTTTTAAAAATTCAAATACATTGACTTTTTCCACACGAAGTGTGTTTGTTTTCCCTAATTCTGCTTCCTGATGCTGTTTAGAGTGCCTAGTCTCTCTGTCAGAATAATAGTTGCACTGGCACTATCTAACAACTTTTAGGTAAAATGATGTTTTTGTAACTGAAGTTGATGATTCAAGCTATATTATACTTTTATAGCTACATGGTTGTTTAAACATCTATGTGTCTTTGTTTGGGTTACTGTTGCTATGATGAACACCATAACCCAAAGCAAGTTGTGGAGGAAAGGGTTTATTTAGCTCCCACTTCTGCATCACAGTTCCTTATCAAAAGAAGTCAGGACAGGAACTCAAACAGGGCAGGAACCTGGAGGCAGGAGCTGATGCAGAGACCATGGAGCAAGCGACTGGCTTGCTCCTCATGGCTTGCTCAGCCTGCTTTGTTCCCAGGACCACAAGCCCGGGGATGGCACCACTCACAATAGGCTAGTCCCTCCTCCATCAATCACTAATTAAGAAAATGCCCTACAGGCTTTTCTATACCCGATCTTAGGGAGGCATTCTCTCATTTGAAGCTTCCTCCTCTGATTACTCTAGCTTGTGTCAAGTTGACATAAAACTAGCCATTACAGTAGGTAAGCTACAGAGTTTATAAAAACATTAGATATTACTGTCTTACTGCTCAATCTTATACATTTCCAGTTATTTGTAGTCTGTCTCCTTTAACTTAAAAACAACATATTTTGTTACTCTATTTACTGTCCTTTGGGAGCCAATTTTGACTTAGTTTTATATAGATTACAAACATTGGAGTCCAGGTTGTAAAATTTGCCTTTATTTCTAATTTTCTGCTCATGTGGGAGATGGGTGTGAGTGTCAGGGAGCAGGTGTGGAGCACAGAGCACAACCACAGGAGCCAATGAACTTCTTCTAATACGTGGGCTCCAGGGATTGAACTTAGATCATCAGGGATTTTGTCAGGTGCCCTTATCCACTAAGCCATCTTATCTCATCAGCCTCTGTTGTCCAGGCTTATTATTAGTACTACTATTATTATATCTTACTTATTTTTGAGCATGTGTATGTATGTGTGTGGGTATGTGTATGCCATGGCGTACAAGGGGAAGACAGAGAACAACTTGTGAGATTGAGTTCTCTTCTTCCACTATGTGGATTCTAGGGATCAACCCCAGGTCCTCAGGCTTGGTGGCAAGGCCTTTATCCACTGAGTCCTCAGGCATTCCTTGCTTTTGACTAAGCAATAGATTATTAGCTCTAAATATTGGACACTTGGATTTCAAATGTGTCTCAATCTTGTTCGCAGTTTAGGGGGAGCAGTCATGAAAATCATATATTTCATGTGGTAAATATTTTTTGATAAATGTCTAAATTAGGAAAATATTTGAAAAATATTCACACATACCCTTCAATTTATGAACATTCCCAAGCTCTTCTAAAGTTGAACAGTTGTTCTTGTGTGCCTGGCTCAAGGGCTCAAAGAGGTCATATTACCTTTTCAGGGGAAGTAGGGCTAGACTGGAATGGGGAAGGAATACACAAGTGTTTCATTCTGAGAGAATGAGAGGGCAATTAGGAGTTGATTGGTTGACCCTTGGAAGAAAATAAGTCACTAGCCGAGTAGCATATCCTGCCTTTATCTAAATTAGAAGGTCTACATCATAGCTGATGGCAAATGAGCCTGGGTCTATTGTAGAATTGTTGGAGGAGTGGGCACAGAAAGCCACAAAAAAGTCTCCTGACTAGAGTATTCAGATTCCTCATAATCTAGGGCTAGGCCCCTAGGTCTGCCTAAGAAGAAACTGCTTTTTATGAAGCTCATCAGATCTTATTCCATTACCCAAATAGTCTAAACTAAACGGTGCTATATTGAGCTTCAGGGAGCACTTTTATCACCAGGTTAGCTGCCTGATAGTTTTACATAGCTTTCCATTTTTGCATTGATGATAGTTTTGTAGAAAGGAAAATTTATTCCTTAAGCAAAATAGTGTTGTTGACTGAGTGGTGTTCATAGATTAAGATAAAGGCAGGTCTCATGACAACCATCTTTGAGCATCTTGAAAATGTGTAAGTTAGTATTAGCTTGGTTTTGTAGTTGAGTGGAGAAGAGCTCTTTAATTTGATTGAAATGGGGTTGAATAGTATCCCGAACCTCCTTGTGGGGGTTCATGACTATAACTTCAGCAGTAGGAGCTCTGAAGTTCCTTATACCACTACTAATGAGAGTACCAGGAGAGAAGCTAATTGTAGCTCTAATACTTTGTCTCAAGAGAAAGGAGGATTCTTAAATATTAGAAATATTACTGGCGCACACCTTTAATCCCAGCACTCAGGAGGCAGAGGCAGGAGGATCTCTGTGAGTTCGAGCCCAGCCTGGTCTCCAGAGCGAGTGCCAGGATAGGCTCCAAAGCTACACAGAGAAACCCTGTCTCGAAAAACAAACAAACAAAAAAATCTTAATCCACCTTATCTGCATACTCTTTTCATATGTGATGGCTGCAACAGAGTTATTACTGCTTTATGAGGCTGCAGATTGGAGGAGCTCTCCTGTCCTATAATAGACCCTGGTAAATTGGGGATGAACTGAATGATATGAGTGTGGGTAGTTAGACCAGGTTAGACTGAGAGGTGCTGAAGGAAGTCCTCTGAGCTGAAATAAGAAAGCAAGGACTTGAGCCTAGTAGAGATACTGGGTAATTTGGTTTATTTATTAATAATATATTTTATTTATGTATAGCATTTATTTATTTAATGTGCCTTTTCCATCATGAATCTTGATCCCATTCTCCATCCCTTCACATCTGCCCTCCACCCCTACACATCCCTAAAGAAAACAAAATTTAAGAGACAAAGGAAAACAAAAATCTAGTCAAATTTGGTGAGCCACTTTTGAGGGCCTTACCCCAAGGGGCAGGTGGGATGTTGGGGGAGGGGAGGGAGAGGGAGAGGGGATAGACATCACCAGCAAGCTTGTTCCTAATTTGAACTAATAAAATAAAATAAAAATTTAAAAAAATCTAGTCAAGGAAACTGAAGTGTGGCACAGGGAGTCACACTGTAAACCCCTTTGTCCATTTATGTTTACTTACATGTGTTCACTGCAATGAGTCATTGGTCTATGCTTTACGGCTCTGGGTGTGCTTTACCGACAAGTGCACAGCAATGCCGTGCAAAGCATAGCAAACACCCTGGGAGGGCCTATGGGCCATAACAACCAGTTGACCAATCAACACAGGGCAAGCCCTCCAAGCCTGGAGGCACACCAATCCTGAGCCTTGCGTACTCCTAGACACTCCCCTTACTCTGTCCTATAAGATCTCGGTCCCGTGGCTTCTCAGGGTCTTTTCCCCAGCCATCCACCCGCCCGATGAAAAGCCCGAGCTAATGTGGGGTTAGCTCGTTAAACAACTGATGCTATTTGCATCAAGAAAAAAAAAAGAGTCATTGGTCTGGTTCTAGGTCTCTGGTTTCTGCTATACTATTGATGCTGGGTCCTTACTAGGACTCCTGGGTATCTTGTTTCCTTGTTGTGGAGATCCTGCAGCTTTGGGTCTGCAGGTCAGGTCCCTTCATGTGTTCCAGCAGGTCATAGATGGGGTGGATGATGGGGCAGGCCCAGTCATAACCCTGGTTCTGGGCCTGGGCAGCTGGAGGGTTGGTCCACCAGATATGAAATGGGGATAGCCCTTCCATGCTTACAACTTCAGGGCTGGCTCACTCGCCCCTGAACTAGCAGGACTGGCTCTAGTGTGCTGTCCTGGAGAGGTGCAGGGCCTGATCTCCTGAGCGTTGCAGCTGGTTGAGGTCAGGATAGCTTTCCCACTATTATGTCCACAGAGCCAGATCTCCCACCTGGCACAGGCCATGCCACCACAAGACAGATGGGTAATGGGGACAGTTCTCCCATGTGCTCACAATTTTGGGGCTGGCTCACCCACACTTGAGCTAACAGGCATGGTTCTATTGTGGTGTCCTGGTGAGGTGCAGGGCCCGATCTCCCAAGTGTTACAGCTGGCGGGGTTCTGGGACAGCTCTCCTACTCCTATGACCACAGGGCCAGCTTTCCCACCTGCCTCAGACGTTGGTGAGCGACGAAGTGGGGGGCAGCTCTCCCCTGCACATGCCAGCCCACCACAAGACAGATGGGTAATGGGGACAGTTGTCCTATGCTCACAATTTCCGAGCTGGCTCACTCACACCTGCACTAACAGGGTTAGCTCTGTTATGTTATGCTGCCCTGACAAGGTATAGTTGGATTTTGTTTTCTTGAAGAAATCCCACTTGGAGAGATGGCTCTGTGGTTAAGAGAACTTGCTGCTCTTGCAGAAGACCTGAGTGCAAGGTCCTATACTCCCATATGTCTGCTTATACCGGTCCATAACTCCAGTTCCAGTGGGTCTGATGTACTCTTCTGACCTCTCAGGGCACCACACACACACATAGCACACAAACATGCAGGCAGAACACTCAAACACATATGATTTTAGATTAAAAAGCCACCATGTGTTCAAACTTCATTGCCTCTTGGAATGAACTTGACACTCGAGAACCTTAGGCATCTAGCTCCATCCATGTTTTCTCTCTGCTCACCCTGTTTCACTTTGAAATTTTATTTATTCATAAAGGACCAAGCTAATGTGCCTCTCCTAACAAATCCTTTCTGATAAGCACGACTCCACACCACTGCATACTCCTTCCATTTTGTTTTTATCTTGAAAACGGTATATGTGTGTGCACTCACATATGTGTACAGTAGTTGTCCATGGAGGGCATGTAATACTGTGAGTTTCTTATTCTATTTCCACAAAGAAGGGGGATGGAAT